GGAGAAAAGCTTTTTATTTTGAATATTTAATAAAAGACTGTTATAAAATAAAATAAGACATATCTCGTCTGATTTACAGGCAAATACTCAAGAGCGAGAACCAGATGTAAACGGGACAAAGCCCCGTCACAAAATGACCATTATCTTTCTTTACAAATGTTCCCGACACACGTGTTCCGGTCGAAAAATAAAATAATATTTAAAGTGTTCTATTTTTCGTCCAATAAAAATGCTTCCCTCCTAATTATACTCGCTTCGTTTTTCGAGCCTGTTAAACCATAAAAAACGCTATAAAAGCGGTCACACGGAAGTCAACAGTCAACAGGTGCCCAGAGTAGAGACCTGTCACGGTCAGCTACTGACAGCAGGGGAGCGTCAACCACCGTCAACATGTGTGAACTACTATGAGAGATTGACCTAGATCCGAAGTCGGCTTATGAACTTTACCACAAGGTAGCTGTCCCAAACCCACACATTCCTGTTGAAATAAACCACGTAAATCTATTTCTGCTGTTGTATTTCTTTCTTGCAACCATACGCTTGTCCATAACAAGACCGACTGGAATAAGGATGTCCCGGATGGATAATCTCTTTTATGATGCTGGAAAATAAACTTATCAAGGAAAGGAAACATTTCCCTGCGTTGAAAAATTCATCGAATTTTCTTAACCAAATTCTTTTATTTAAAAAAAATAATAAATAATAAAATTAATAATAATGCACGGAATCCATTTCGAATTTTTACTGTCATTTGATACATTTTTCAAGCATTGTCCGGCTGCTCTAAAAAGTGATGTTCATAAACTGCTAACGAAATTAATGCCTAATTTTTTTATGTATTTAAACTTTAATTTTCTTTCTATAACAATACCATATATACGATGTTCTTAAACAGCAAGTGAAAACCGAGTTGAGAGAATGTTGTTAACATAATCAAAAATAATGAGTTCCCTTTGTGGTGTTCTGTTGTGGACGGTGTTAAGGATTGTAATGGATGCAGCTAACACGGACAGAGGTGAAGAATTTCAAAATAAATGTATTCAGCACGTAGAGGATTTTATACATATATTTATGTAAAGGACAAAATAACTCACAAAAAAAAGAGAGAATGATATTTACGTGAGTGCAGATAGCTTATAGAAAAGAAAATCATTTAAAGGATTAATGGTAATGTGCATGTGTGTATGTGCAAATGAGCGCGCCACGTAGTTTAATAAAATTAAGTCGTCGGCTTGACCTGGGACTAAGAAGTCTCCTCAGAGAGGGAGAGTTCTGTGTTATTGCTACTACATCAAGGAGCAAACAGAAGAAGAAAGTGGCATGCTAACTTACGGTGTTAAACGAAATCCATTGGCAGACACAGTGGGTTAATCCTACTACAGATCAAAAAGCGTTTGTGCACATATTTCAGCTATATAAACTTGCCTTACAGATTTCTGGGAATGAGCGTGTTATCTAGTGTGATCAGCAATGGGAACGAGGCCACTGCAGTTAAGTCACGATGACTTGTGACTTCGTGCTAGCACAGATATCGACGGCCCCCAAGGGTTTCCGTCTACCCAATTTTACTCGGTTAACCCGTGGTATGATTTTTAGGCACTTTCCAAATGTGCCGCATGATGACTTCGACTCCTCCAGTCCGATAATTTTCTGACAAATAGACCATGGAGAGATTTGAACCCAGGTCTCATGGTCAGAATGCGTTTTTCCGAGATGAAAGCAAAAAATCCCTGCCTGCTCTATTCTCTTTTAGAATTGGGGCTTGCATAATTTAATAAAACGAATTATTTTCTTTGAGGAAGGACAGAAAAAAAACTACACTTAATATTATATTTTACAAAAAAAATACCTGTAATTTTTCGGTGCGATTTTGAAAATGTATCGTGTTGCTGTTTGTCGCAAAAGATTTTTTATAAAATAAAGACATATTTCAATTTCATGCATCAAAATTTAAGTTTAATCAAAGTTTAATAATCCCATTTTCGAGTGTGAATTTTTTTAAAATAATTTTTATTTTATTTTTTCCTTTTAGCAACTGTTAGATGATTTTTTGTATGGACGTACAAATGGTAAATAATTCTTATTTCTCACCTTTGTACAATCTACTAAGTTTCATAAAAGCATATAGAATAAAAAAGTGTATTCTTAAAGTATTGGTTATGTGTGATTATTATAATTTTACGGACAAAATAAAAATAAAGCCATAGATCTATAGCAAGCTCACTTAGCTTAGCATGACACAAGGTCACAATGTTGATGTCCGAAAAGATATACAAAGTTTTCAATTTAACCATAGCTCTACAGCAAGATTCCAAATTGGTATTAGGTAACAATAGTGGGGCACCGAGTGAGGATAAAATTCAGAACATGAATAATAGATCGGTGAGTCTGGTGATTTAATATTTTCTTTTTGGTGGGCACTCAAATATATTTGTAAAATAAGATCATATACATCTACTTTTATGTGCGATGTCCCTTCATGACGTAGGCAATCATGGCTCTCCACGACTTCCTGTCATTTGTAGCTCTTAGTAAATTTGTCTTTTTGCTATCTCTCTTAAATCCCTGTTCTGTCAACCATTTACACGAACTCGTTGGACAGGTTATTAGCTACTTTCCTCGTCTATCTTGTTTTGAATATCTCCTGTGAGTGTTAAATTTTCCAAGCCCTCTTTCCTCGTTATGTACCTGAGAAATTTCAAATGTCTTTCCGATTCGAAATATAAAACATTTAAACATCATATAAAACTTTAAACCTTTTAACAGGGGAAGATACTTCAGCAAATATACTTAAAATTACCTCCCTTGGACTACAAATACAGTAGCGGTCAAATGCTATTTAGCAGTCCCCGAACTTTTTGCCCCACGGACCTGTGTCATACAAAACAATTTTTCCAGGGACTGGAGTGGCGATCGGTGACGGTCACGTGCATTACAAAACACCATAAACAAGACCTCGATAGTCAATAAAATGGAAAAAAGTGCTTATTCTTTCAGTGCAGCCCGGTAGCAAATGGTCCACGACCCGGTCCGCGGCCCGGTGATAGAAAAGAATTAAGGTAAGTACCTTCATGAGATCGCTAAAAAAAGAGTATAGCATGACGAAAAAGACGCCAAACTTGACGAAAACAAAACTTTATATCATCTAAATATCTATGTTATTATTAAGAGGGAAGAATAAAGTATTTTGGGGGTATTTTTTTCTATTTTTTAATCGTTCCTAGCACGTCCAAAATTTTCGTTAAAAATTTTGTTTATTTTAGTCAGTAAAATTGACAGATAATCGATATTGACAGCCATTTTTTTCCCATTTATTAAAAAAAAAAAAGAAAATCACAGTTTGAAATTTTTTTAAAAATCAATTATAATTTTTTCAAAACTTATTTTAAGAAAATCAGAAATTATAATGTTTATGGTTTTCAATGCACAATATGCATATTACTTGAAATGAAGTGGAGGGATGATATTTTGACATATGTTGAAACGTGTGCGTTGGGCAAACCAAAGATTAATAACCACTGTCTTAGATTGACTAGTCATTTCTCCCCCTTTTTTTATTTAAGAAATACATGAAGCGAAAAGATGAATTCATGCCTTTTCCCGAAGTGAACGCAAAGGACTAGCCTGGAATTTGAACACAGCTCGCTAATTTCACTTTCCAGACAGATATATATTACACTATGAACACACCCGTTGCAGAAAGTATTTATTTGCCGATGCTTTCTGTCACTGTTCAACGCACAATGAAATTGAACAGTCCCCAGGTGCATCAACACGCACAAAGAAAAAAAGCACGCACTGTATCGAATGCTACTTTCCTAAGCCTGGCTTAGATATGGCACAAGGCCGAAAGTATAGAGCACCCGTTGTGGATCGAACTCACTATTCAGTCGTAATCGATCTAGCAAGACAAGCTAGCTAACCCTTACACAACGTCGAAGTATCGAATGAAGAAAAGTAATACTCTTTTCTATAAATACTTTCATCGTAACTGTTCTGATGAACTTTCCTATATAGTACCTAGACTTTATGAATTTAAGTGCAGTACTAGATTGGCGGCAAGGTCTCATCAATTTACAGTTGAATTGGCTAGAGGTAATCGTAAGTTCTATGCTAACAGTTTATTCTAGCGCACTTCTCGCTTGTGGAACCCTTTTTCGGCTTCTTGCTTCCCAGTCAACTTTGATCTTCAAAAATGTAAATGCAATGTCAATCGTTATTTTCTGTCTTCTTAATTCCTATTCTTCTATTGTCCCTTCACCTTAATAGTAGCTTTTTTCATATTCTCTAATACTCTTGTATTCTAGTGGCTTTATTGCTTTGCTTGGGGTGAAATGATTCTAAAAAATATATGTTTAAAATACATAGAAAATTGTCAGTGTGAGGCAGAGTTCATGCCCTGCAGGGTCAAAGGATAAAAACTGTCCATCAAGCTTTTTGTCTTAGAATCGATAAAATCGCCCCGAGAGTAACAGTCCAAACGAGTGGTACCCAGGATGCGTGCCGTGTTTTATTTTGTTTTTTTGTTTTGTTTTTTTTTTTTTTTTGCTGCGACAACTTGATTTAGAAAATGTCCTCCAAGGAAGCAATTATTTTCTGGACAACATCGATAACCTTCTGGTGGGTACCAGTGTCCGCTGCCGAGCAGATGGCATACCAGACAGTGATACATTACGCTAGCACACACTCAGCAGTACAGTGATAGAAGGTCATCACATCAGCAGCTCCCTTTATAAAACATTTTCTGAGGATTCTCTGTAAATATAGTCGCTGTTTTGCTTAATTTACTAACGCGTTGGTATTGTTAGTCCAAGAGAGAGTGCAGTGCACGCGCCCAGAAACTTAATTTTACTCACCATTTCCACACAAACGCCGCAGGTAACCAAAGGGACGAGCGTTGTGGCATTTCTTCAAAAGTCGGCTCCTTTGATATTAAGGTGTTTAAAGCAAGGTTATTTTCTGAGCTCTATGCAGCCAATCTTTTTATTTCACTCTTGTAGTTCTTCACCTAATCACCCACCAGAACGAGTCCAACCCCAATAGTGCCGTCGCAAACTTAAATGATCGTGTTGATTGGATGGATAGAAACGCAATCAGAAGTGTAGACAGCGTACAGAAGAGGGATTCATACACATCACTGTGGGGCGCCGGCGCTAAGTATGACAGTCGGAGGAGAGGTGCGGGCATATTCTGACAGTTTGTTGACGATTTGTCAGAAAGTTCGTAACCCAATGACAGATGGACTGAGATAGCCCAGTCGTGTGAGTTTTGAGGCCAGTCTGCTTTTTACTGAAAAATGGCGGAAAATGAAAACGAAGACGTTATTGAAACTAGTGCATAACAAATTCGTTTACTAGCACTTTGCATATTTGCCATTGATTTGGTTCAGAAAGGTGAAACGAGTTCGTCGGAATTTGTCGACTCACACGAACGAAGGGTCAAAGTTCATCGTCGGTAATTGAGCGCTCCTGCAAAAGGAAGTCATCAGTTATATGTTACGAGCTGTAGCACGATGCTTTTCCGCACGTCCCTCACAAGCCGTGATGATATCCATGCTCCGGTGTATACGTATACACCCGGCTTGCTACGTTCACAGGTTTGTCTTACTGGCCGACAAATTCTTTTCAAGACACTGGTTGGGAAATAGCAAATAATACGATTTCTCACTTAATAGACAATAACTTCCTTTGGCTTCGAGAAGATGAATCCCTGCTATCTTACTAACTTCTGGCCACGGAAAAAGGATCCTTACACTCACTACCTGACTGTCTCGGTGACTGCTGACTTACTCACAGCTGATCCTTTCCTCACTGACTGGTGCGTCACTCACCACTCATTCTGTCCACCTGTGTTCCGGAAAAGGGGACCATCCATTCAGATTTTTAGGTGGTCAGTTTTTCAAAGGACTCTACTTTTATGATTATCTAAAATCACTAACAAAATTTTATGTTTGCCAATTCAAAGGCGGGCTCGAGATAAGATTCCTAAGAAACCCTGATCATTAAATTGATTTAAAAGGAAAAAGAATATATCTATTGATCTCCTGGGGATGTGTGAGAAATCGTATTGCTACAGCTGTTGTCGAATGGATGAGCTAAGTTAAACAACATCCTTTTATGAACTTTATTTTTCCTCAGCTTGTGTACCCTTTCAATGAAGGTAACGAAAAATTTCAGAGTACTGAAGGATTATGTAATATCAGTCTTCCTGTATGTCAGTGAATGCTGGATAATCTCCTCAAAGATGAAGAAGAGACTTGAAGAAACAGAAATGTGATTTTACAGAAGGATGCTGAGAATACCATCGACTGAACATGTGAGCAACGACAAAATTTTAGAGAAAATAGAAACAAAAAAGACTCTTATACTTAACATCAGAAAGAGACAGTTGAAATTTCTAGGGCACATAATGAGGAAAGAGGGCTTGAAAAATCTGATACTCATAGGGCAGAGTGAAAGCAAGAGGGACAGGAAAATAACGCATAACTTTCCTAGAGAGCTTGAGTAAATGAATGGCGGAGCAAGGTTTAGGAAAAATAACAAAAGGACAAAATTTATTAAGCGCGACAAAGAACAGAACATTTAGAAGAAGAAGAAGAAGAAGAAGAAAAAGAAGGAGGAGGAGGAGGGGGAAGAGTATCTGAAAAAGATCTAGATTGCTTACAAAATGAATTCAAATTTTTGGCTCCGAGTTATGATAGTTTTCTCGGATATTATCCAAATGACGAAAGTATTATTTAGCCTCGATCTTTGATATTGCAAATATCTGCTTCAAGTCTCAAACTTCATTCCATCAAATTTCAAGGAGCACTTCTAGAACTATAATTATGCCATATTTATCCAGGGCCGGCGATACGCACTAGGCGAACATCTCCAGAGCTAAAATCCTGATAAAAAAATCTGCTCTGTGTGTCCCTATTATATGTGTTGTACATCGTATGTGTTGCACATTGTCTCTACTTACCTTTATATTACTATTTTAATTGTAAGAAACTTTGACTAAGTTTTGAGTTGATTTGAAATTAATAAAGACAAGTAGTGTACGAATGAAGGTCGAATAGAAAATGTTCATTCTTAATGTCATCGACTGTCAAATCAATTTCCTTTTATTTGGGGCAATATAAGGTTTATTCTTGCCATCGTGGTATGAGGAGTGCATGTAAGCTCAAACGAAACGTCTTTTTAAAAGTTCGACCGCCATGAAAGCGGAACGGATAGATTTATTTCTTTCATTTCTTTATAAAACTTTTCATTGGTTAAAAATCAATTTTATTTTTTTGTTTTGGTTTGAGCACATTCTAAATATCGTGTGTCGAGCTGGAGATGATTTCTCTTATGGGACTTTGTTGATTTTTAATTTTTATTGTGTCACAAGCAGTAAGAATGAGAGATTCCCTTACGACTTTAAAGTGGAACGGATAGATGTGTTTCTTTAATTTTTTCATTTTTTTTATTGTCTAAAAATCAATTTTATTTTTTGTTTTGATTAAAACTGATTGAGCCGATTCTAAAAATCGTGGGTCGAGCTAGAAATCCATAAGAATGAGAGCTTCCCTTATGACTTTTAAAGGGGCTCTAACAGAGGGTTAAGGTAAGTTAAGGTTACAGAAAAACCGATATTTAAAATCAGTGACACGTCAACATGAAGGACTAGCGCGAAAATAAATTATTATACATAACACTTAGTGAATGAAAAATATGTTCTGACTCCAGCGATTGCAAAAAAAATAAAAAATAAAAAAAAACAAAAAAAAACTGGGTTTTCAAAGGAGACACAACACAAGTAAAGAATCAATTCAACGACAGCATTTATTTAAACTTAGTGGATATAGTATTTTAAATCTAAGCGATTCTTTTAGCAATGGTGTAATATTTTTTTAAAAAATACACATAAAAATGCAATCAAGTATTTAACAAAATACTCTTTGACAGTAATACACGAATTATTTTCAAATGCAAATATTGAAATAGTAATCAGATTTCAATCAGATTTCTTTGTCAAAGGAATAAACGTTTTGATCGAACAAAGTCAAAATTTACAAAGTTCAAAGTTATTAATGGAAATGACTAACACAATATTTTTGTTGTTCTTTGTTGGATAAAATCTTTTTGAATGAGATTTAAAACTATAGAGAATGCTAAAAAATGTGCTTGACAGAGTATAAGATGTATTTTTTCACCAAATGGCTAAAAAAACACAATATATTTGTATTTTTTCGAACTATTGTTCTCATCTTATTTGAAATAAATGTTATTATAGACACAAAGTTTAAACTAAGTGCGCTCTGGTCATCATCATGTGTACCTTAATTGGCTGATAAAGGACACATGTGAATATTGTGATATATTTTCCCTGTGCTGTCAGTCATTGTTCGTTCCCGCTGAATCGGTAATTCAATGCTTGGTCGGGGTGGTGGGATTGTCCTGTACTTTTTATGCAAAAAATGAGGCTCCATGTAGGCTAATTTTATGCCCAGCGCTTTGTACTTTATGATATAATTTTACCTCAGAGGGTCACTTCTACCTACCCGGCCCCATAATAATATTATTCACTCAAACATCATCATTATTATCATCATCATCATCATTATTATAGTATTTTCTGAAATAAAAACTTGATATCTGGTAATTAATTTATGGATAGCGGACTGCAGTCTGCAGCTTTAGGTATCATGCAATTTTCCTCTGACTCTACGTGTTCATCACTTTTCTGGGTTATTCTTGCCGTTCCTAAGAGGCTTCCATTCTACAACAGCTCCACTAGGCCATTTTCCTTTTATTTGGGGCAATATCAGGTTTCTCTTTGCCATCGTAGTAAGGGGAGTGCATGTAAGCTCAAACGAAACGCTTGCTGCTTGCTTCTGTACAGCCGCTAAGAGCTTTTTTTTTAAGTCGACCGCCATAAAAGCAGAACGGGTAGATGTGTTTCTTTTTAAAACTTTTCAGTGGTTAAAAATCAGTTTTATTTTTGTTTTGGCTTGAGCAGATTCTAAATATCGTTTGTCGGGCTGGAGATGATTTCTCTTATGGGACTTCGTTGATTTTTAATTTCCAGTCTGTCAAAAGCCGTAAGAATAAGAGATTCCCTTATGACGTTAAAGTAGAACGGATAGATGTGTTTCTTTAATTTTTTTTAAAGTTTTCATTGTCTTTATTCGATTTCCATTCTGTTAGTCACCAAGTACACCAACGACAACTAGTATCTTTGTGACTTTTAACTCCCAAGCACTGCTTGTTCAAACTTCAATGTGTCATAGTTGATTACTTTCTCTTCTTCTTCTTGTTCGAACCTTGTAACAAAAGGGCACAATGGATGAATGATTAACTCTTCTTTTCCTATTTTATCTCCCGCCAATATGTCCGGATGGTTGTGCACTTTCTGTTTGTTAAGAAATATGTTTATTTTTGTTCGAATCTTGTATCAAAAGGACACAATAAATCAATGATGAACTCTTCCTGTTTTATTTTCCATCAAGCGCGCAGCAGAATCAGACCGGAGATAGGACAAGAACAGTGCGGGTTTGACAAAAATACTTGAACAAGGAACGCGGTATTTATGCTCAGAATGTTACCAGAAAGAGCAATACCAATGCAGAAGGACCTATACTTGTGCTTTATAGATTACGCAAAGGCGTTCAATAAAGTACGCCACAAGGATCTGTTAGAACTGCTCAGCTACATTGACATATTTAGTAAGGATATTAGAATAATCAAGAATCTATACTGGCAGCAAACCGCCCGCCTACATATAGAAGATGAGTTCAGCAGATACATAAAAGTTGAAAGAAGTGTAAGACAAGGACTAAACATAAACTACAAGACAGAATGCATAGTTGTTAGCAAAAGGGGCAACCCAAAATGCAAATTACAAATCAGGGATACTAAAGTTAAACAAGTACAAAATTTGAAATATCTACGAAGTGTTTTAACTGAGGACGAAAAATCTGACACTGAGATTCGAAGGCACGTTTGAATAGCGAAAAAGTCTTCCAAAAGCTAAGTAGATTATTAAGAAACAGAAAAACTTCGTTAGAAACAAAGAAAAAGAATAGGGAACTGTTACGTGGTATCTGACCTCCTATATGGCAGTGAATGCTGGACAATCTCCTCACAAATGAAGAAGAGACTTGAAGCAATAGAAATGTGTTTATACAGAAG